AAATCCAATTCCTACAACTGTTCTTCATATATTTTAGCCTTCAGCCACCTAATCATCTTTTTTTTGTACTCTTTCCAGAGTCTCTAGTCTACATCTTTTTTATAAAATGGTGACCAAAACTGCATGCAATATTCTAAATGCGACTATATTAAGGCCTTATAAAGCGGTACTCTTGATTCTATCCCTCTGTTAATGCAATCTAGGATTAGAGGTAAGATAATGTAGGATTAGAAATACAGAACAGCTGGACAAATGTTTATTACTTGCATACCATCTCAGGATTGATGGAATAGCACTTTAATTGGTGGGTTAAACAACCTACACTTTAAAAAAGCCTTAGTTAATCAGACAACTCAACAGGCTTCAACAGATTCCTTTCATCATTTTCCTCTCTATTTCTCAATGGAGGCCTAATTTAGATTAACCCATATTAATCTAGCACCTAACAATACAGTTACCCTGGAGAAATCCTTGGAGGCATCAGTTCTTTCCATAGTACTTCTTCAATACTTGAAGTAGGCCCCTCTTAAAGATGGCCACACTTTATAGTGTTTACAGAAAAAGCAGGAATTTTGCATCCTACTCCATTCAAAAATAAAGTTATCAGTAACATAATGATCTGGAACATTTTAAAAGTAGTCTTATTATCTTCTACCAAGATTTTCTTGTTACAGAGGAATGCTGGATATTGATTTATGGTCTGGGCAATTTGGCCTGCATGTTCAACATTCTTGAAAACATCCTTATAGCACACTTAGGAGAATGTCCTTTAGGAATCGGATCTCAAAAGCAGTGAATCAGACTATAAAACATGGGAAATATATTTGAATAAATTTTGCCTAACATTTTGTTTTTTATTGCCTACCTGAAACACACACTCACTATATTAAATCTATTTCTTCTTGAATGCACATTTTCAGTGCTCTCCTATCTTCAACATTTAAGTCAGATATGGGGAATCTAATTTTTATAACCTGCCCAATGTCAAATGATCTCCTGTCACTAATGATTTCATTTGTTGATCACAGCTAAACTAAAAACTGCCCTATAATTTGTACATTATGCTATAGTACCTTCTCCAATTTTTCTTAAATATTTTAGAATTTTATGTTTCTCTTTATCTTGTAATGTTTGTCTTATTTTGCTGGCCTATAATCAGAAAAAGATTATTTTGTATATGTTTGTCTCCATTGATTTTTTCCCCCAAAATGTAAAAATAAATTATTACAATAGAATCCTAAGACATGACCTGATCACCTCAAGCTTATAAATGAATACATTATAGAAATGTGGACTATGACCTCTGTTGAAATCTACCAGATTATTTACTATTTCCTTTTCAAAAAGGTATATTTTTTGAAAATGATGATAGTGGTTGTTTTAACAGAATTGCTTACCAATATTCTACTTTCTAAAACAATCCATAAATAAGCAATAGAAAGCAGTCTGTTTTCTATTACGGCATTGTTTTTTTAATGTTTGTAAGAAACATCATTTTGTAGGGGGCTAAAATATTGTAAAGATAAATGAAAGAGGTCATTATCACATATCTAAAAATGATAAAATAGTTGTATCGGAAAAAAATATTATGAGCTTGAAATCTAGACCAAAATAGGGAGGGAGAGAAAGATGACATTACAGTCTTTTGTAGCTCAGAGAACATCACAAATACACTTTCAGCTCTGAGTTACATATAATCTCTGCTTTTGGAATCTTTAATATTGGCAAGAACAGAATCTCAACTGCAGATAGCAGGAGAGGAAGGAGAAATAATTCTTGCTGCCAACAAGTCTTGCTCCAGGAAGCACTTTCCTCTACCAGATTGTTACAACTGCTGATGTGGCTGGCTTGTACGTTGTACTAGGCCATACTTTCTTTTACTCTGCTTAATTACCACGCTGGGTGAAAAAGTTAAGATGGCAAATGCAACATGATTATGGACACTATGCTTCAGTGGTGAAATCTGAACCTGTTTACTACCAGTTTGCTGGCTGCACATGTGGTGCGCACCACGCACCAAATACAAGGTGCATACGCACAGTGCACGCCAAAAGGAAGCATGCGGTAAGTAGAACAGCGCACGAAGGGGGGTGATCAGCTGTGGCACGCAAGCTTTTTTTTTTTTACTTTTAAAAGCATTGCTTTTAAAAGTAAAAAAAAAGCCTCTGATGATTGCATGGCTCAGCTGGGCATGGGTGGGGAGGGATTTTTGCTACTGGTTCCCCAAAATACCCGCCGCCATCGCTACCGGATCACCGATCGGGTCCGAACCGGGAGCATTTCACCCCTGCTATGCTTTCATACACATCCTCCCTCGCAGACACTCCTGGCTGATTATATGAGTTGAGCTCACCTAATTCATAAACCCCCTGCTATAAATAATAGCTGGGTCCACACATTATTGTATGCTCAAACAGCATAGGGAAATCTCTTGACCAAAAGTGATTTTAGGGCAGAGATCTTTAGTTCAGCCTCATGACAGTGTGTCTAGGGAGAATCTCAGTCATCCAGGTCATGTTTGTCCCAAAGGTTCTTTTTCAAAAGGTAACTGGACTTTGTTTTTCCTTGAAGACCCTTTGCATCTCATCCAAGTGAAGCAGCAGCTTCTTGGATGAGAAGTAAAACGTCTTCCAGGAAAAGCAAAGTGCCTTTTGAAAACACACCTTTGGGTCATCACAGAGTGTTTGCTAACCATTGGAAAAAAGTGTCTATGGAGACTTTCAGTCATCCAGATCATGGTTGCACCCACAAAGGTGCTTTTTCAAGAAGCAACTGGACTTTCTGGTTTTTCTTTGAAGATGTTTCGCTTCACATCCAAGAAGCTTCTTCAGCTCAGAGCTGAAGTCCAGTTGCCTCTTAAAAAAGCACCTTTGGGACATTGGAGAAAAGAATGTTAAGTATGGGGATTTTTTTAAAAAGGAGAGCAGAAAACTTGATTCTTGATGAGAATATGGGCAACACTGATGTGGTTTTCTTTAAATATGAAAATGCTTTGTTACCATTTTTTTTTTAAAAAAAACCTTTCCTCCTTCAAATTCTATAAATCGGGGGGAAAAAAGCCAAACACACAACCCCTTGCAGGTGTAGCCTGCTACAGATCTAAAACTTTTCCTCTGAATCCCCCAAATCCCAACAAGATCAGGTAGCAGGTGTGATTATTTATTGAGTCTCCCGGAGAAAAGGTAAGGTATACAATACATCCAAAGAATAAATAAAAAACGGTGGTTATGGTCCACCGCCAAAGGAGAATTTGCTTTCTGCCAGGTAGATTTCAATATAAGGACGCGGCGGGCGGGGGGGACGGACCGAAATACTATGCTTCTTTTCACCTTCCGCAGTCAAAATGTCTCGGGCCAGTTCCTGCCACTCTGCAACAGGCCTTTGAATCCGCCTGCGGCGAGGCTTTAATCCAACCCGCCAGCGGACAAGCAGCCGAGGCAATTCCCGTTTGATCCGCTGTTGTTTCTCTTGCGCTCCGAGCGGGCCTCCTCTAGACTCCTCCTCCTGCAGGTGAATTAGTCGAAAACCTCCTCCGGCTTTCGCGGTTGCTAACAATGCGTTGTCCCCCGCTGCTGCTGCCACCGCCGCCGCCGCTGCTCCTGCGCATTGGAGAAAAGGGGAGCAATACAACTAGGAGGAGGAGGAGGAGGAGGAAAGGAAGGAGAAAAAAAAAGAGAGAGAAAGGAATAAAAAGAGAGAGAGAGAGGCAGGGAGAGGGAGCGGATCTACTCCCTCCTCCTGCTCCTGCAGCAGCAGCAGCATTAACAGCCTCCGGTCAGTGTGCAATTCAGCGCCGCTTAGCCGCAGAAGCAGCTCCCCTTCTCTCGGCTGTCCTCGGTCCGTTCGGCCCCCGAGATCGGAAAGAAAGCCCGGACTAGCCCGACTGCTGCCGCGGGACGCGGTGGGGGGAACTATCCAGAGGTCTTCCTGCTCCCTTCTTGGAGAGGTGAGGCTGGGCGACCGGGACGGACTCCCGCCCGCTCCTCCGAATAGACTTTCCCCCCGGGGGTGAGGGGGAAAGATCGTATTTTCAGCCTCGTGGAAACGGAGGAACGGCTTTCCCACAGAGCGGGGAGGGAGGCAGGACGGAGCTTCGTAAGGAAAGAGGCCTGGCGGCCGAGCGGCTGCCGCAGCCCCCCAGACGCCGTCATTGCCCCGCCGCCGCATAACAGAAAAGTCTACTTAGTTCCCTGATTATTAAGCGGGCCGGAGGGGCGGGAAGGGGGGGGGGAACCGACAAACTTGCCCCTCAACCAATAACGGAAGGTTTTGCCTCGGTTGCCGGGGCAACCTTCAACGGCGCCTGTGGGATACGTTGCCCTGCTTCAGCAACTGAATTCAGACTCCCCCCCCCTCCCTTTTTTTTTTCTTTTGGCATTGCAGCATTTCTTGGAAGGACTGTTGGGGCGAGGAGGGGAGGGTGGTGGTGGTCTAGGGAAGGATGTCCGGGAGTGGGGGTGGGGGGCGCTTTGGGTATCTCTTTGAGTTGGCATGAATGCTGCTTTTTGTTCATCGAATACCAAATGGCACTCTGAGAGCCTTTTGGTGGGGCTTGGAGAAGTTGCCCCCTTAAGAGAGGGGTGATTTGCCCAGCTGAGTGGCGGGCAGGTTGCACAAGTGGAAAGGTTGCCTTTCCTTGCAGAAGTGATACATTTGCCCCTGATGGTTTCCATCATCTCAGCAAATCTCCCCCTGACCTTCCTGGTGGAAAGGAAGGCCAAAAACAAAACAACAACAACAACAAAACAACCAACCCCTAAACAAACAAACAAAAAAACTCCATCTTGCAGTTCTGGGGAAAATATTCTGAAGAGAAGGGGCTACAAGCTGGGGTTGCCAGGATGTGAAACAGTGGTTTGCTGCTTTTGAAAAAGATCTAAGGCATTATTTGTCAACCTCAACAACTCGAAGGTAGGTGGACTTCAACTCCCAGAATCCCCCAGCCAGCTGGCTGGGGGATTCTGGGAGTTGAAGTCCACCTACCTTCGAGTTGTTGAGATTGAGAAACAGTGATCTAAGGTGTGGTTTGTGGTCTCAGGCCAGGTGAAGGGAAAGGAGGTGCTCTTGTTCAAAATGCCTTTCACATTGTTGCCATCTGGAAATGCAGATACTGTAGAGCAGTGATTCTCAACCTTTTCTTCACCATGGACCTTTTGGGGGTCACGGATCATGGCCACAGACCACCAAGACTTAACTCGAGATTTAAATCATAACATTTCTTCAAGACTTTGTGTACCCCCAGGGGGTTGAGAACCACTGCTTTAGAGCTTTTCACATTGTAAAAAAGCTATATGATAACTTGGGTTACTAGCTACATCCAACCAGTTTGAAGAATAGGATTGACTTGGCTGTAAATGGAGAGGAATCACATCCATAAAGTATATCCTATTCTTAAAAACTACTTTGTTCTTTCCCCACTTGTGCGATTCTGGGGCCACTTGTACATAATTCTTGGGCTGCTTCCTTTATATCCAAACATGGATCATATCCAGATATTCTGGACTTTCGGATCATGTTCTTAAAATCTGTATGAGTGTGGGGGTTTCCCCCTTTTTTCTTTTCCATTTGCCCTTTTCAAAACTTTATTATTGTATTTTTTTCCTGTTAGCGTGCCCTGCCTCTCTCTTACATTGATTGATCTGTGATGTATTTGGTTGAGGAAACATTCACTAAAAGGCCATTTTGACTGGATTCACATACAGTAATACATTAGTCTAAAGTGCAGTTGGCTAATTTGTGTCTCAGTGTGTTGTGAATTGAAGCAAGATAATTAATTCAATAGAGCTTGGTTTTATTAAGATGTGCAATCAAAGTCTCTGAGAAGTCAATACATGTTGGCAACTTCTCTTATTTTGGGTGGTATTTATTTACAATGAGCTTTGGTTCAGGAAGTTGGGAGATAACATTTCTTGCTGATCTGGAACTGAGCTTTAGATCTTGGGTTGCTGACACCAGATAAAGAGATTTGCTGCTGCTTTTATACAGTACACTATAGTATTGTACTGTACAGCAGTAATTTCCTGGGAGATTATTGAAAGTTTTCTACAAAAAGTGAGTGAGTTGGGGGAAAATGTTTAAACTTTTATTTTTGAAGAGTGCAGAAAGTCTGCTGGAAAATGTAACAATTATTTATACAATCCTAAGCAGTTCTTTGACTTGGGTCCAATTGTTATTATCATGCAAGTTATGAAAGCTTTTCAGGCGGAAGGTATAAATACTAGAAGTAAATATATAAATAAACAGACATAGGAGAGCAGTTTTGCATCCAGCTAAAATTCTGTCTAATCCAACATCCTGTTTCTAAAGTAAGCCAGCCAAATACCATTTGGAAAAATTGCAAGGGAGACAAATAAGAACTCCTTTGCACTAATGTTCATCAGCCTTTATCCTGAGAACCCTGTTGTACTTTCTACTGGAGAAAATGTATAGCCATCACGATTAATAGCTATTAATAACTTACTCTCTATGAATAGGCCTAATAATCTTTTAAAGCTATTCAGCTTTGTCTTTATCACTTGGAATAGTAAATTCCGTGGCTTAAGCATGCAGTATATAAAGGAGTCCTTTCTTTTATTTATCCTGATTTGAAAAGATTGTTATGGATGTTTTATTCATCTGCTTTCTTCACAAAAAGCCTGATTTTAATGCTGCTTGTTGCTTCCCCATAAACCCTATTTAGTTTTTTTTAGCAGCTAGTAGTGGAATCTAGTTCAGTGATGGGTTGCTACTGGTTCACCCCAGATCGGCTCACCCACCCGGACGCTTCTGCGTAGAAGCATTGCACATGCGCACGAGCACACGCACACGAGCAAACTGGTAGCAAACTAAATTGAAACCCACTACTGATCTAGTTGTATGGTATTTTGAAATTTGGAATGACATGGATATATAAGGCTCTAAAATTATGGAATAAATGTGGGTTTTGTGAAAGAAACAGAACAGGAATGGAGGTTATGGCAAGTTAGCATAAACTTTTGCTTTTGGTATTTTTGGTAATTCCTTTTGGTATTTTCAGATTTTGTCCTCCAGGAGAATTGACCCAACATTTCTGCCACTTGTTTTATTTTGGGGAATATAGGCTAAGGACCAAAATGGGTGCCTAGAGCCTTGCAGATTTTACTCCTTACAATTCGAAGCACCTCTCCTCAAAATCTGGGCCTCAGACCCTTTATTTTCACAGCAGGTTCACCCTCAACAGGATTCACAAAATCTTGGCAAGGTCCTTAAGACAACAGAAGTTATAAATCTTTATATTATGGGATCCTTTGGGTCTGTTGTTTATGCAGTTTAAGCTTATTGAGAAGAGAGAGGAGTTAAGATGGCAGTTTTTCGCTACTTTATCATTGTAATTTCTAGATAAAGTTGTTTTGTAAATAAATCCAGAAAATTGTTTACTGACTAGTACTAGTTTGGAAAGGCTGACTATTTACCTGTTGCGAGGCTAGTAAAAGAAAGTGGCCTATTATTTAGCTGTCTACTTTTTGTTTCCATGCTGGTCATGGAAGAATACACTTCCAGTTTCCCTTAGATAATATGAAACCACATAGGTAGGGATATAATCAGCCCACTCATTCTTGTCAGCCTGATTATTTACCCATATGGAATTAATGGAACCCATACCTCGCCAGTGAAGCTGTTCATTTCAAGGTAAATGAAATATCTGACCTTTCTAACTGCTAAGTATAGTGTATATTGAAAAATCAGAGGATTAAAAATCACATAGTGTAACAGTAATAAACAATATACATTTTAATACAGTAGTACTAATGTACTAATGAAAAAAGGTAGATACCAACATTTAACATTCCCCAATGCTCTCTCCTAAGGCCATTTTTTACTATCAAAATCGTTATTTGAAAGTTAGGAAGGTAAGGAACAATAATGTTTCTTTAATGTTTCAATTCTTATTTAACATTATATACAAAGAATGCAGAAATGATCCTGCTACCCAATTCTGGTAGCAGAAATGTGGAAAATGGTTTCCACATTTGAAAACCATTTGTGTCTGTATTTCTGAAAATTATACTGGAATTGCTCATGTTTTATAGGAATTCCTAACATTTGCAAGTACAGTTAATATCCTTATTACCTCTAAAACATTTTCAATTAAGGTCTGCTTCATATGGAATCAATGTGGATAAACTCTTTGCTGATATGTGCAAAAGTAAACCATAAACTCTCTATATAAACCAGAATAAACAGAAGGGATTCAGATAACATTAAATCACAAGCATTATACATTGTGACATATGAATCTAGCAGTATGATTGGTATACTTTACAAGAAAATGCAATTATTTTAGTATTATATTAGTTTCTTTCCAGCCTCCATAATTAATTTGTTTCTATTATTTTGCCCTTTATTACTTTAATGAACAACATAATTCAAGAAAAGGATAATAAAACCAATGTTTTAACATTATGTATTTTTTCTTTCACAAATAATAGAAATATTTTCATACTATTAATATACTGTAACTCTAAATGATTTTGAAACACTGGAATTTTTATGTATTGCTTCACGGGTTCTGCTGTTATTTCATAAAATTGTAGCTTTAATCTGGTCATAATGTTCTTCCTGGAGTGGAATGTGCTTTTCAAGTCAGCATCACCTCTCCAAGTCATTGTTGCTCACTGCTGTGCAATAGATCAAAGCAGCTGGAATCAAATTTCCTATTCAGCAATGTCTACATTTATTAAGGCAATAATTGCTGGTTCAAGTGATGCTACCAATGGTAAACATGAGAACGTAACCCTGAAAATATTATCTCTGTGAATGTCCCAGGTTTTTAAAGAGCCAGCACGTAGGACAAAAAGCTGGTTTTCAGAGAGAAATGGTTGGTCTCTGCTTTCTTGTATAATGTTTTAGTAGAATATTCTAACCAATAAAATCTAAAGCTGGTGGAGTAATGGGTGGAGAACCATAAAATTATTGAATAAATGGATAGAGTAGTCATGTTTCCAGGCAACCAGTTCTGTGGAGGAAAAAAAAAATCAAGGTCATACAAGCTTCTTTATAGTGAGTCAAGTGAGTCTTCTGATCCATCTAGCTTAAGGCTGCCTTTGTTGAAAAGATTTCCCAAAGTTTCTAGCAGGAATTTTTCTAATCGTATCTGGAGAAATTAGAGATTACATGGAAAATGGATGATTTCCGCCTTTGCTGTGAGTCTTTAGTAGCAACATTGCTCTCTTTTTTGCCAACTCCAATTAGAGAGGGATCTACACCTGTAATAAATATTGAAGCATAATACAAATAGCAACATAAGTTGCACTCATAAGGGTGGATACACAGGTTGAATACTGCCCTATGAAGTCAATAGTATAATTTGCCCTCTGAAATTGTTTATGATCTTATACTGAATTTGTACATCATCCTTCAGATACATCTAACAAATTCAGATTATTTTTGAAAACAGCTAAGTAGTTGCTGGGCCTCTTATTATATGGTATACCTAACTTTAAGATAAAGTTCAGTCCAGCTAGTGAATATTTCACTTAAGTATCCAGGTCGTTTTCTTGGTTTAGACTGTTTCCACCATTCTCTGTTTTGGGAATGTTTTTAGACTCCTCAATTAGCCTACTAAGAGTCAGGATGGCACAGTGGTTGGAATGCAGTATTGCAGGTTATTTCTGCTGATTGTTGGCTTCCAGCAATTTGGCAGTTCGAGTCTCACCGGCTCAAGATTGACTCAGCCTTCCATCCTTTGAGGTCAGTAACATGAGGACCCAGATTGTTGGGGGCAATATGCTGACTCTGCAAACCACTTAGAGAGGGCTGTAAAGCACTGTGAAGTGGTATGTAAGTCTAAGTGCTATTGCTATTGCTACTAGCCTGATATAACCTGCCAGTTACCAGGTATGACCCTGTTTAAATTTCTTAGCCCAGACAATTTCAGCCAAGTGCTCTTAGCTGTTGTCTTCTTATCCATAAATTGTTTTATTTCTATTCAGTTTGAGTCATCTATCTTCTTCAAATACCATTTTTCTTGAAACATCTAAATGTTGTTCCATATTCAGCTATTAACATGAAAGACTTTTGAGGCTTTGTAAACCCATCAAAATATTTGCCTACATCTATATGAGAACTGAAAGATTAACATTAAAAATGAAAGCTAATAAAATGTGTAAGTTTGCTCTGTTAAAGAGTTGTACTATAAAAATTGGAGTCAGTTTTCGTAATGTATCTCCTGCATTTATGGCAATATGATTCTATATTGGACCATTTATGTGTATTCTGCATTCCTATAATTATTCATAGAGCTAACAAAATATGTGATGTTCATTGTGTTCATCATGAGGAAGAAGATGATAAAGGATAGATTTTGAAAATTTTTTACCATGTAGAAAATGAGCGCTGAATTATGCCTTGAATCTGTGCATGGAATTTCCAGAGATGATGTTTTCTTTGATGTGGAAAGATATGTGTTCTGGAATGTGCAAAAATAAGATTGCATTACCTTCACATGAAGCGGACCTTTAAAATAACATGTGCAGATGTGTATTTTGATTAGTAAGAGTCATGGGGGAACAATTAGTGGTAAACTTGCATCATCCTGCTCTGGTTCTATTTCACATTCTTGTTGTCTTGGCAGATAGGATACAAGTATCAGTCAATGAAAAACCTCTTTAATTGTATTTCCACTGCTGCTTGAACTTTTCATGCTGAAATAACAGGGTTAAGATATGAAGTGGAATGGGGGTGGAGGTAATGAAACTCAAGGGACTGTTTTTTGGTGTGGGAATTAAAATAATGCTAAACTTTTCTGTAATTTTTGTATTGTTGCTTTGTAGGATATTCTTAATGACTCAGTCATGAAGTTGAATGTTGTAGTGTAAGCATCATAACTTTTTGTGCCCCAGAAAGAAATCAAGAATGTGTTGTCTGAAGTAGTTTGTGGGAGCTTCAGCAGAAAAGATTCATTCAAGATATGGCTCAAAATATGTATACTGTGCTGAACTGGTTTAAATGTTTGAAATTTAATTAAAGAAAAGTAAATAGTTCGGAGAGAGTCCAGGATTTTGTCTTGCAAAAACATTCTTTTAGCTTGCTACTTGACCCCTGTGTGACAACTGGAAAATAGACTACTTTCTACATCCAATCAATTTGCAGTTTCAAAAAAGTATACCTGTGTAACTTGATACCAAATATTGGCAGATAATATCTCCTTTTGGGCATTGATGCTGGCATTAACTATTCAGCATGAATTTTTAGCCTAATTACTTTTTGTAGCGATTTGCAATATTCCCTGCAAGGGAGAGAACAGAAAGTCATTTTAATTCTAACCCTATTTTTTTTTCTTTTCAGTTGGAATGTGTAGTGCATTTCTGTAAATTATTAAGAAGGAAGGGATTCCAAACAGTAAAGCTGAAGGATGCCATCTGAAGTGTGCCTCAGGTATAGTTCACAGTATCTGCCTCAGCCAATTTTCATTTTATATGTGCTCATATTACCCAAAGGATGACAATACCACCCTCTGCACGCATGGATACCCCATCAAGATTACCCTGTCAACAAAGGTTTGTTTTTGTAATGTGGTAGTCTCCCTTGAATTTTCATGAGAACTTTTCTCACAGAAAATCTTGATGCAAAAAATGTTTGCTCTTTTCACAGGTTTGTCAGCTCATTTACATATTGTGCATTCCTACTAAATTCTGGAGAGAGAGAGAGAGAGAGAGAGAAAGGAAGAGAATAGTATTATGGTGATCCTCATAGAGCAGTCCTCAAAATTATTTTTTAAAAAACATATATAAGCTAAAGTAGAATAATAATAAGATATTTTGCTCCTCCAAATTTGATTCAATTACAGTAATACAAATACTTTTTCCCAGATGATTGGACTATTTATGTTGTTTACATATTTCATATTTGATTCTAATTATGCATGGTAAAAAGGAAATGTATACTTTGTATTCTGCATCTCTTTAGGTCTAAATATGTATCCAAAACTAGAACAAATGATTTAGCACAGGAAATTGGCTTGGATTTAAATTTTTGGGACATTTTAGATATGCAATTTTAATAAATTATTATGTTTAAACATATAACATGGTTCATTGTATTGACATTTAACGCAAGTCAGTAGGCAAAAGAGCAACTTCATTTAAAAGCAAATTCTAAAATTAATTTTGGTATAGAGTTGTGTTTCTTAATTTGTTTGTCTTTCCTTCAGATGTATTGAGACTTTAAATCTAGAATTCCAGCTGAACTATCACTAACACATTTTATTTAAAGATGAAAACTTTTGTGACTTTAGCTCACTTTATCAGAGCTGCAGTTAATGAAAAAGCAAGCTTTTCTAATGATTTTTTTTTAAGTTGGCAAGCTGTCACCAGATTAATGTTTTGCTTCCACAGACCAAATAGCTCTCCTCTTTCAAAATCCCAGCCAGTATTCCCAAGGGCTACACGGCCTGGGAATTCTGGGAGATACAGGTATAGACTTAACATGACCAAAGAGTATCAGAGTATTGTAGGAATGGCTGACCCTGAGAAATGCAAAATGCCATTCTAGTAATACTGTCCTTTTATTCTGTAGTTCATTATTCTTTGTGATTTGTTAAAAAGTTTTTTCTAGTGTGTGTTTATTTTTGTTGCAGCAAAAAACGTTGACAGGAACTGGTAGTGATACATAAATTATCTGAAGGAACCAGTGCTATATTTAGTAAGACATTTCAGTACTTCAGTACTGCCACTTTGCCCTCTCAAAAAATGCATTATATAAAGTTGAACATTTCCAGAATGTTGGAAAGAATGGTATGTATTACCATTTCTAGTGGCAATGACAATTTAATTACTTATATTCAAGGGAATTGGGGGAAATTGCATGCTATTGGTTGACACTGTACAATTCTTACACAACGTAAGAATTGCGGTTCAGTTAATGTGAGCCTGGGAATGATAATTTATGTATGGGCACACTTTGTATGTTTAGAATAGCATTATTTGGTATAGAAGAATAAGATCTATTTGTCTAATGGACTACAGTAATATTTCTGACAGACCATAATATTGCAGATCTGTTGATTCTGTGCAGAAATAGAAAAAAATTAAAAATACTCTATTTTTAATTGCCAGAGATAATAATATCGATAGTAATAATTGAAGTTGAAAAAACATGGCATAAACAGACCATGATGGTCCCAGAAGTTATTGACACAGTGAGTGCCAAATCAAAAAAAAATTTATATGGCACTTAGAAAATATGTGCATTGATAAAATTTCCATCTTCAATTACAAAAGGTCACAATATTTGGATCTGCACATACATTACACCAATAAATTATGACATCCTAGGTTCTTGGGAAGAACTTGATGTGTATAAAGGCCATCATCAGCTAAGGAAGTGTCAGCTGTGATTTCACATGATGTGAATATAATAATAATAATAATAAAATATCTCCCTACTGCAGATCCTTGGGAAGGGCTTGATAGGTGGACAGAAATATCAAATCCAATCTTAACATCTGATTGACTGTGCCTCCAGCCATAATATTGAATTCCTGTCCAATTTCACTTTACAGGGAATTCTCAGGCACTTTTTTCCCTAAAAAATATTGTACAGGTGCATTTATAAATAGATTATATATGTGGTAATTTAAAAATCAGATAATTTAAAGCACATGGGTATATTCCATAGATTTTATTTTGATTCTCATGGTCCTAATTTTTCCTCTTTTGCAGTATTCAAGATATGCTGACTGGTCAGAGACTTTGCCAATCCAGTTCTCACAATGATGCTGTCCTGGCAGCTCTGAACCAACAAAGAAATGATGGGATACTCTGTGATATAACTCTAATTGCTGAAGAACAGAAATTCCCTGCTCACAAGGCTGTGCTAGCAGCATGCAGTGACTATTTCAGAGTAAGTTAACATATGTTTGTATAGTATATGCAGTATAGTTATATTTTTATGTAATTGTATTCTTCTAGATCATTATGATAAATGTAAATTCCTTTTTCTTTTAAATTTTGGACACAGTAGTGATAATCCACTCAAACATTTCAGTGTGAAAAAATTATTTTTCAAGTATTGTCCTGCACATACATTGCTGGGAGTGTATATATGTACTTACATAGATTCTGTGTGGTGCATCTAGTCTTTGGAAGGGAAGACTGGCATAAGGCGCTCTATGTGTAAAATATGTACAGATAGTTCTCAACTTATGAACATTCATTTAACAACCATTCAAAATTATGATGGCACTGAAAAAAAGAGATTTAAGACCAGTCCTTGTACTTATGACCTTCACAGAGTCCCTGTGTCACATGATCAAAAGTCAGATGTTTGGCAACCGGCATGTATTTACAATAGTTGTAGTGTCCCAATGTCACATGAGTGTCATTTGTGATTTTCCCAAAGACTTCTGACAAATGTGATTAATGACCATGGTGATTTGCTTAACAATTGTGGCAAAAAGGTAATAAAACCAAGTATAACTCACTTAATATCGTGTTTCCCTGAAAATAAGGTATCTCCTGATAATAAGCCTAATCAGGCTTTTTAGCGCATGCGCTAAAATAACCCCCCTTGAAAATAAGCCCTCCCCTAAAATATGTAAACGCATGCGCAGCTGGTCCTTGCCATTTCCTCTGGCTAGGGTTAGGGAGAAACAGCGGGAAATCAGATAAGATGGCAAGAGGAGCCCCGTCTTGTTCCATGCGCCCCAAAATAATATCTCCCCAAAAATAAGGCTAAGCTCTTATTTCGGGGTTGAAAAAAATATAAGACAAGGTCTTATTTTAGGGGAAACACAGTAACCATCTTGCTGAGTGACTGTAGTTCTGGTCCTAATTCAGGAAAATAATGTTCTCTGTTTGTGGTGAGGTTTGTACTAGGAGGTGTCCCTGGATCTGGGTAATTTACCATATATTTAGATAGCAGGCATAATCTTCTATCAGCTAAATCCTTTTGTGAGCAGACCTGACTTGACCTTACTTATTTATTCTCTTTTAATTCTCAGCCTACACTGCAGCTATACTATACACTCTCCTTGCATTTTGCAGACTGGTTGGCAAGCTCCAGTTTGATCAAAATGCAACTGCCAGACTACATTTGAAAGGAGGAATGACTACCTAAACTTAATGCACCTGTCAATTACCTGATTTTCAATGCATTATAATTTCATTTGGCTGGATATTTTCAGAATGTTATTATTATTGTACCTCATGAACTTACAGATAGTCTTTAGCTTTTGACTACTAAGTCGAACTGGAATTTCCATTGCTAAGCAAAACACTTGTTAAGTGTTAAATGTCAGTTTAAAATGTTAAGATTTTTTTAAAAAAATCCTTAAAATTTAAGTATTTTATTTTTAAAAAAACACCATTGTTAAACGTCATGTTGACTGCACCACTTAGCCATAGCAGTTCCAGACAATGTGGTTATTAGGTGAGGACATAAGGTGTCTGCAGTGTGCGACCTCCTGCCTGTTTTCCCATTGACTGCTTATCGGAAGTCGGATGGGAAAGTTGCAAATGGTGATCATGTCTCCTGTCACTTGAAGCTTACACACCAATCCAAGCCATTCCTGTCCTGATCCCGCTGAGCCCTGAGCTTTGGTTTCTCCAAGGCAAGGGATGCTTTCAGGGAATCCGTTCATTTCTTCTGCCCTGCGGGAACTGCTACGGCTTCAACTCCATCCCCTATCTCCCTTGCCTGTCCTTTTTGACTGCCCTGTATAGCCTAGCCAAGATGGGTATACTACTGCATGATGTCATCCGCCTTCATCGTCATCATTTCCCTTCCCATTTGTTGGGCTCATTGAAGCTAGTTGGCCTCAAGCCCCATGGTTTTGGAGCTCTGTTGGAGCTCATCCCTGCCCTTCTGGGGCACCCTGATGAAGATACCACTGAAGTCTGCTGCCGCCTCTGGGTCTAGCAGTGACGGAGCCCCTGCACTATGGGTCTTAAGGCCATCTAGACCATTCAGCAGAGGGGAGAAAAGGCAAAGAAGATTATAAAGGTCAGCTAGGAGAATGGAACATAACAGCATCATCATGCTTTTGCAGGGCAGCTCAAAGGACAAACATTGGGCCGGGAAGATTGATGTTGGGGAATTGAAGCAGAGACAGTTCATGCAGGGCAAGAGAATGGAATTGCAGGCCCCTGCAATGGTTATAAGTGTGGGCTAGTTGCCATGCTCCAAAGTTTTGATCATATGGATACTATGATTGTTCTAAGTGCAAGACAGGTCATAAATCCAATTTTCAATGCCGTTATAACTTCGGACAGCTATTAAACACATAGTCATAACCCAAGGACTATCTGTATTGAGTCAGTTTTAGGTTGATGCTACTATGCTGTGTTTTCCTTTATTTTATTGAGTGCATAATTGAGACATGAGGTGAAAGTGATATTATCTCTTGGCAAAATATACAATATTAAATTGGATTAGGGTATGAAAAAGTTTTGCTATGCCAGAGGATTCAAACGATTAGTCATTGTGGTGTCAGAAGTAGCATATGTTGCTTTCCTGATATACAATGGCGTTGTCAATGTTTGCAAAAACACAGCTTGTCCTTCAGTGTAAGGCTTTCACTTATGAGCAGTGTTGTGGGAGTAGTTTCCTATGGCTTTTTCACAAGCTGGAACACCTTATGTGCATGAAAAAGCCTTGTGGGTGTAGATTTAAGGCTGTGTGCAGACATTGCTTAGCCAGGAAAAAAAGAATACTGCTTAGGTAGGAAGGAAAAATGCAGTTGTACATTTAGTCCTGGCCTGGCCAGCAGAGACCTGTAGTTCAGGGGGACCTCATAGCAGTTGCTACAATATTGTTTTTTTAATTTGTTAAAAGTCCTTTTGTACTTGTATAGAATGAATGAATATGCCACTGCGAGCAAAGCTCCAGGTATCTCTCTTCATTTCCTAGATATTCAAGTATAGATTGCTGAGGCTCAGTAAGATTTTTAAAACAAAAGAGAGTAGTAATTTCTGCTGCCAACACCCATCTTCCAGGAGTGTCTCAATTGGTATCCATCCCACTACCCTGATAAATAAGAGATAGGGCTCTCATGTTCCCTTTTGATGATTAAAAGGTAAAATCGGAAAACAGAACCCCTTAATACTTTCAATAGTGCAATCTTCTGGCCATGTACAGTGAAACCAATGCCAGATTAGGACTGGGGACACTCAGATCCAGCAGATTGAGTATTTTGATTGAAAATCATCATCTTTCAGCCTAGCCTTCCTTATGGGCTTAATGACAGATTAAAATGGAAGAAGATCATTGTTTTAAGCTCCTACAGAAATGGAAGAATATTAATGGAATATAACAAAATGTAACTCCAAAATTTGACTCCCTTGAAGGTATAGCACAGGGGTGTCAAACTCATGTCATCACGGCAGCATCACGTGATGTATTGGGACTTTTTCCCCCTTTGCTAAACTGGGCATGGATGTGGCCAGTGTGTGATGCATCTGGCCCATGGGCTGGAAGTTTGACAGCCCTGATATAGCATATTGATTAGTAACTTCATTGGATCAGATCCAGATTGAAGACAATTGCTCCTTTGATTTATAAAAGGCACCACAAGCTTTTGTGCGTTTCATTGTTGTTTTTCTTCATACAGTGTCCTGTGAATTTTTCCAGCCTTCCAAAGCAACTTTCCAAAAGACAGAGAGGTTTATTGTATAGGAGAAAAGAAAAATTGCAGAGACAATCTCTTTGCTTGGTCTTTGCCACATGAATAGAAACCTCTGTGCTATGTGGGAGCCAGTCCATGTTTAACAAAAGGTCTTTTTTAAGGAATAGCAAGAGAACAATCACTGTTTTCTGCTACTTAACATGGATATTATGCATAACAGTTTTAATGAATAAATATTTTATTTCTTCCTTTAGGCAATGTTCAGTCTTTGTATGGTTGAAAGTTGTGCAGATGAAGTGAATTTACATGGCATCACAGGAATAGGTTTAAAGCAAGCTCTGGACTTCGCGTACACCGGACAGGTATAATATTACAGTCCTTAATCAGCCTATAAAATTATATGAACCACTTTTACCAAATAACTTCACTCATAATATTGAAGAAATCAATTGGGATAGGGAAACAATATAGATCAGGACTTATGGAATTTCTTCAGATCCTTTAATAATAGTTCTGTTCTGGGCCAGATGTGTAGAAAGGATATGTGTATCATAGAATGGAGAACTGGAAAATTCTGATTCACTGCCCAACTGCCTTACCCATAGGGATGTACTGTACTGGGAAGAAAAATATGGTCTTTCCTCCATAGTTCCCAACCCAATCCAACTCAACTTTGTTGGTGTCTGTCCTCTCCAATCTTGTTTTAATATGGTTTTAAGAAGTATTCCAGTAAATATCATTTGGTGATTTAAAAACTTTCCTTCCTGAGATAAGAGGGCAAAGCCTGTGACCATGTGTGGCTTTCAGCCACAAAAAATTAATTCATGGTTGGCATGCTGTTTCTGCCAAACTGCTGATTAATCATCTGTTGAGTGAAGGTGAATAAAATTCTGGTTTTCTGCTCCTTTCTAAAAGTGGGAAACCAGCTTTTTTGTATAGAATCATTGAGGATTCTAGTCCCTTTCCCAGTAAAACTAGTAAGCAGCAATCTACAAGGAATGTTGATAGTGGCTATTAAGCAGGGGTGCTATTCAGCAGGTTCTGACAGGTTCTGGAGAACCGGCAGAGGAAATTTTGAGTAGTTTGGAGAACCGGCAAATACCACCTCTGGCTGGTCCCAGAGTGATGTGGGAATGGAGATTTTGCAATATCCTTCCCCAGGAGTGGGAGGGAATGGGGATTTTGCAGTATCCTGCCCCTGGAGTGGGGTGGGAATGGGGATTTTGCAGTATCCTGCCCCTGGAGTGGGGTGGGAATGGAGATTTTGCAGTATCCTTCCCCTGCCACGCCCACCAAGCCACACCACGTCCACCAAACCATGCCCACAGAACCAGTAGTAAAAAAACCTGAATTCCACCACTTCTATTAAGCCTATTTTGTAATCTTACAAGATTATGCAGTTAAAATGCTACTTGAATACATGAATTATAAGCAGATATGACTAACAAATGGCTAAGGGAATGAAAAGATCAATTTATATTTCTTAGTTATACCTCACCCACAGCAATCTATATTTCTTAGTTATACCTCACCCACAGCCTGTTTGTAGCAGGCTGTACATATTGTGATATAAATACTCAAATACCATACCTATTAGAAAATGTTCAAATTATCAACCAATTGTTCTTATTTCACACACTTATAAAATAATGCTCTAAATTCTGCAATCTAAATCTCAACAATATGTGGAGTGTGAACTGTCAGACATATAAGCTGAAATCAGAGGTTAATGGATAGTAAATAGAAAAGGCAAAGTAATTCCTGTACGATATCTATTTTTGTTGCATTACATTAAAGCTTTTGACTGGAAATCACAACAATCTGTGTATAGTCCTTAAAACATGGGTGTACTAGACAACTCATCTGTTTATTGAAGAATTTGAATGATGACCAGGAAGCAACAGTTGGATTGGTATATGGAGCAACGGAATGGTTGAAAAGAAAACAGTCCTCCAAGGAGGTATATTTCCCTGTTATTTGCTTAAAAACAGAAAACAACAAGGACTACTGGATTAAAAAGAATAGAAATTGGAATTGTAACTTCTGGGAGAAACATCAACAATCTCAAATTGAGTGGTATGCCACTTTGGTGGTTGGAAGAAGGAGGAGTTGTAGCTGGCTTTATCTTCATAGTGTAGTCTCAAAAATTCACAGATTTCTTAAATATAACCAAGACACATCTTGGAGAAAGACTACAGTAACCCTAGACAAAATATTAAAGTGCCAAGACATCACACTTTGGATTTCTGAACTAAGAATCAGTTAAAAGCAAGCTGCCTGATTCCAAATTGAATTCTAAACTGGATTTTGCAGTTTACTGTATGACCATCCTAATGGTAACCATACATGAAAAAGGCTTATTTGTTTTGTTTGCTTTTCCTGGAATGTTTTCCTGAGACACCTATTTTCAAACAATAGAAGCTACAGTTAAAAAACAGTGAGATGTTTCTGTGCCCGTGTGATAACTCAATGCCATTGAAACATTAGAGAAACCCTCAAGGTTTCACCCAGCTATAATTCAAAACACTTGTTAGCAAATGAGTGGTTTTGTGTGTTCTCTTCTCCATTCTTCTCTGAGAGCACAGCCATATACCATCTTTACCCTCCTGCCAAAATGCTTATCATTTGTTTAGAAGATATCCTCCCAAGAAGTATGACCTTCCATAAGTTTCTTATTTCCATTGAGAAAATGTAATCATTTTGGAGCAGCTAGATCATTTATGTACTAGAAGTAAGGCATCGTGAAGAATTGTAGACAGGAGAAGGAATTGTGGAGAGCCACCCAAGAAAGACAAACTGATCAGTATTTGACATTTTTCCTTCTTGGTTTGAAGGAAGCCACTTTTCTGTAGTGTTTGGTTTTTATGCTTGTGGCTGCTTAGATTAACCTCTCCTTTAAAATCTGGATGAAACAAAGGAATGGTTGCAAAAATCTGGTAGAATTTAGCTTGTCTTAGCTTAATTTGTCTGCAAATAAGAAAGCAGAGGCAGATTCCTCGGCTCACTTTTTTCAGGTTCTTCTTTCTGCTCCTTGCCTCTGCCATTCATCACTTCTAGCAGCCTGACTTATTTACCTGGCTGCAAAGACAAGGCACAGATAGCTATTGGTTTACGACCATTTATTCAACTGTTTGAAGTTAGAGCAGCACTGAACAAAGGAACTTATGATCTGTGTCCAAAATTATGGTCATTGCAGCTCCCCCACAGTCTTGTGATCAAAATTTGGATGCTTTGCAGCCTGAACATACAATTGCAGGTTTTCAACTTTCCCTCCCCATCTATGTCCTTTTGGTCTCCTGCACTTCATGGTTCCTGATGCCCTAGCTGATTTTCACCATGTTCTTTCTCCCATTGAGGATTGAACATGCCTGGCCTGGTCCTTCAATAGGCACCTATTGGTTGCTGTACAAAGAGGTGGCTTTAGAGATAAAGTCGTTCTTCTGAACTAATTCCAAACTAATCTTGTTTAAAAGAGTTATGAAATTAAAACCCTAGGATTGTAAGTGGCCAAATCCTGATTTGTCTAAATCTGCCATGAAACTCATGTGACATGTCAAAGAGGTCTTTTGCGTTTTGTGTTATAAACAATATCTGCTATATAAAAAGTGCAAGGAGAGGAAGTATTCAGCAAAGAGATATAACAGATGTCCTATTCAAATTCTTACATAGCTGTGAAGTTCATCCAATAACTTTAACTGATTACTTTTTCCCAGTGACATATATTTTACAGAATTTATGGAAGGATAAAATACTAGGAAGTGAAACATATGTAATCTGAGCTTCTTGGAGAAAACATGCCATGTAGATTGTGCACAATTGTGATGTGATGCGGTGCATACTTTATTAAAGAATGAAACTATATTATAGACAATCACTTTACATTTTTCAAGCTGTTAGCCAAAAATAGTGAAAGTACAGAGTTAACTGAAATAAAATTGAAAAAAACCCTACTAATCCCTCCTTTAAGTTTTTTTTAAACCATTGCTTAAGTATTTCTCCTTTTCTTGAATTCGTTATATTTATTTAAATAGTTTTGCCTGATATTTTTTTTCATTGATCTCTTGATTTTTTCCCCTTAAAAGCATACTGTATTCCAAATGTTTAATACCGGTCTTTGAAATGTAAAACAGCCATTCATGCTTGAATTTAGCCAATACAACATATTCTGTTTTGGGTCTTTCTTTCCTATATAGTTGCCAAAGTTTCACTTTTCCAATGTTGTGCTCCTGTCAGTTTAAGTCCTAGTACATTGTGATCTTTAACTGTTCTCTCTTTTCTTTTAGTAAATTTCTCTGATTATACTAAACATATTTATGGTTTCAATTCAAAATTTATTTTTAAGATGCAGTGCACGCTTGATTGTTCATGACACACTGATCCTCCTGTGTCTTACTGATAGGCATCTGGTGTCTTGTACTGCATTGTGCTGCATTTGAAATATTTAATTAAACTTACTTTAATTAAATTTAAGAATTTAATTAAGCTTACTCTCACTTTTAAGATATATTTCACAGAAACCTAACCTTTTACTTACTTGCTTACATATTTTGCATAGTAGGAAAGAAAACACTTCTTTTCTGGAGAAGGTGGATATCTTGAGACCTCTAGTGAAAATGTTGGGTGTTGCGGGGATTTAGTATTAAAAATGGGACTTGGAAAGTATCTGGTGAAGATTAATTCTTCCTGTTTATTAAAAGCTGGATTCATGATTCATGAGAATTTATAAATGATTTAGGCAGCTTCATAGGAAAATCACTCTGTTGAGAAAGAATTATATTGTAATGCATATGTAGCACTACCTAATAATTTTGCAAAGACATGTAATATTTCAACATCACTATGTGATTTTTGTTGTTTGATTAACTTTTATTTAATTTTTTTGTCAGCCTGGCTTTCCAACTTAGTTTCAGAAGAATGCAGTTAGTAATGTAGTTTTCAGTAACTGGGAATATAGAAAACTGTTATAGACCCAATTTAATCTAACTATCAAATGGCAGTCACACTACAAAAATCTTTTCTTGTGCTGATGTTCACTTTAAAATTATTTGGGAATTCTGATTGCCCTGCCTGAAAATCCAAGGATATTTATGGCTTGTATGAATTTTTACTAATTAAAGCTGGTGTAGTGGCTACAGTTGCTCTTAACTGCGATAATAAATTGGCCATACCTAATAAACTCTGAATTGCTGTATTGCCTTGTTAAGTCTCAGAAACCATTTTTAGTTGCATATTTTGCCTAATGCTGCTAGAGCCCTTTTTAGTACAATCCAGAGGGCTTATAGTAACTTTTTAAACTCTGTTTCATGTACCATGCATCAAATGGTTATCCATACCTAAAGACGCTGAAACTATGCACTGAAATTATTAAAATAGATAATTTCTTAAATTAGGTTGTGATAGGTTTATAAAACAACTTTCTTAATGATTTCCAATCTCCCCATTGGCATGATTTCCCCAAAAGATTCACACACATGGTGACAAATATACGTGCCCCAGGATAATGTTGCAGAATCCAATCTGGGTCGGTCCCTGGGACCAGAGCTTAGTCTTCCAAGCTTTCAGATTTGTGTTGGAGCCCAGCATGAGTCCGAAAGCATGGAAATCTAAACCTTTGGTCCCGGTGACCGACCCAGATTGGATTCTGTCACACGCATGATTTCCCTCAGATCTCTAGAAACCAGACTTAATTTATTCATTGGATGCTCATGGATATATATATATATATATTTAAATTCCTCTGCTTTTAAAAGCTTTTGACATAAAACAAAGCTTGTCTGCTAGGATTAGCATTGTCTCACCAAGCAGTCCAATGCCATAATTAGATGAATTATATTGATTTTAAAATTAAAAAGATAAAATGTAGTTAATTTAAAAAGCTTTTTTTAAAAAAATTCTTTTAATACTGCCACATTCCAAATAGACTCATGGTTGTGGGATGCTGTAGTACTATGTTTTTAACACATGGATCTGTGAGATCAAGCCATGTATTGTAATATCACATCTCCATATTATATTGACCCCCATTAATGAAACTTTGAGCCTTTGTTGCCATAGTATTAGTCTTCCTTACATTTTTCTTTTTCAAAATAATAATATCAGATTAAAACCAGAGAATATACTGCAGTAATGTTGTATATTCTTTTGGGATTAACATTTATCACTAGGCAAAATGAGACATTATTTGGATATCATAAAACAGCAAACTGGTGTGATCTTCTTTTGCCCAGATCATCTTTTTTTTTTCTTTAGAATTTTCTGCCTTGCTGATCAAAATAGTTTCCTTAAACTGTGTGCATCTTAATTTGGTATTGATATTGATGTTTCCTTTACTGTTTGGGGGCAATAGTGTCTCTTCGTCTGATCATATGGCCTTTAAGTGAAGGTCACTTTTACCTGGATTTGGGACCGCTTAGATTTATGTTGGGGTAGAATGTTCTCACCAAATATATACTGCTACATTTTTGATACACTTCATAAATTTATATTCTACATAACTTCAATGTAGCATGCTTTGCTACATTTTCCTATGTATGTTACTGCTCCCATTTTATAGTTGGTGTATTTTTGCTTGGAAAAGGGCTTTTCTAAATAGTTTTTTATTAAAGCCTTTGCTGTCTTGAATTTGCTCTTCCTTATATTGCAGTATTGCTTTGGCCTTGGTGAAAGAACTGTCAGAAGGATGACAGATAGTTCCAGCTACTGTAACATTGAATTGTATGGTTTGATTTGGTTTAATGCAGATTTCTGTGTGCCAATGAGTGTCTTAACTTAGAAAACCACCTTTGTGACCCTAGAAATATGTATAGATGTTGTGCTTCCCTTTCCCTTTTGTTACGAAGAAAAACATTATTGTAACCAGTAATTTCTAACACTAGCTAAGCATTTTGTTTGCAAAAGCTTTCAGTTGGGATATTTGAAATTGTGTATCTGCAGCTTTGTAAAAATGACATCAAGAAATATCGCTTTGTGAAGTTCCATGGGAAGTATGGGGAACTGAAGATAACCTTGACAAAGAACAAGGTACCGGGGAATAGAGGATAGAAGATAAGGAGAGGGTGGGAGATTACCTACATGTCCTACTGGACCAGGGCTGTCAAGCTTGATTTTATTAATGCCGCATCAGGGTTGTGTTTGACCTTGGGGCCGAGGTGCGTATAGCCAGGGTGGGCATGGCCAGCTTGATGTCACTCATGTCGGAGGCGTCTGTGGTGGCCCGAGCGCTCTGTCAGCGAAAATGGGCTCCTGAGCTCCGTTTTCAGCCGTGATGGCCTCCTGCCACCCTCTGCCTGTGAAAACGGAACTCTGAGTGGGGGGCTCGCTGGCAAAGAGCAGCAGGGGGCCATTGCAGCTGAAAACAGAGCCTGGGAGGGCTGCACACGCCCCTCTCAAGCTCCATTTTTGCTGGCAGAGGCACTGAAGGCCGTTCCTTTGCTGTTTCTAGGGCAGCCCTGCAGGCCAGATCTAAGCACCCCATGGACCGGATCTGGCCCCCGGGTCTTGAATTTGACACCTGTGCTCTGGATGGTGCTTCTTGTATGGAGACTGCAGGACAACAGTTTCCCATAAGTTTAAGCACTGGGAGACAAAGGGATCAACCAAGTTGCTTGCAGGTGTGGCAGACCCTTTTAAAGAACACTAACATAGCAAACCTCACTTTCTAACTACTTTTGTAAATTGCCTATTTAACTATCTTAAAACTGTTAGAGACCTTTGGTACAACAAGTCATCAAGTAAATTTAATCTTCAACTTGGAACAAAAGAAAAATTGATCATAATCTTAAGAATGTAATGAATTTGAGATAAACAGTGAAAAGCTAAATATGTTTTTTTAATCTAAGAAACTTATAAGTGGATTAATATTCCAGATAAATTTGGAATATTGACTTTTACTATAAGTGTTTGGAATTAACTAAAACAGTTTCTTATGGGAAACAGGCTTATTTTGGCTGTCCTGGCTACTGTAAACCACAACAAAGATAAGTTATTTTATGATTTTAGAAGCTGAACACTAGAGGGGACTAAAGATTCTAAGAAGGGGAAAAATACAAGCCTGTTCTTGATGTCAGTTAATACTATGATTTACAAAATGCCAAAATATATTATCAGAAACATTAAAGGAAATCTTTAAAGAATGGAACCAGAAACTAGTAACTACAATATGAATACTATCAGTAATGATATCTGCTTCTGTGGATAAACTGTATCCAAAAGATATTAATGAAGAAATGACAGATGTGGAACAAATTTTGTCTGAAAAGACAGAGAAAGTACAGAGTGTGGAACTACAAATGGCTGTTCAAGAGAATGATTTGGAAAAGGACCCTTTACTAGATATACAAAAGAAACTGGCTGAAATTTTAAAAATTAAAAGGGAAATACAAACTGAATGAATGACTTCTTGACATCCTTGAAGAAATCTTCAATGGGATAAAGAAGATTAAAGATAAATTAAATCCCATGACAATATTTGATTGAATTAAATAAGACTCTTAGAACTAAGGCGAATAAATAAAATTGATTTATTTACTCAAGGTTAAAATAAGACATTTGTTTTGCACGGTTATGGTAACGTTTTGTGGACTTTTTGTTGATACTAAGATTGAAAAATTGATACTTTATGGATCTGCTTATTAAACGATTAATTAATTAATTTATTGGTTCGATTTATTGGTTCGATTTATCTGCCGCCCTTTTCCGGAGACTCAGGGCGGCTTACAATGCGTTAAGCAATAGCCTTCATACTTTTGTATATACCTGCTTAGTAGGGCTTTCGCCCCCCCCCCCCAGCGTTGTTCTTTTTTTATACAAAGTCAGTTTATTGCCCCCACAAACCGGGTCCTCATTTTACCTACCTTGAAAGGATGGAAGGCTGAGTCAACCTTGAGCCTGGTGAGATTTGAACTTGCAGTAATTGCAGGCAGCTGGTGTTACTTAACAGTGCTTTAGTCTGCTGCGCCATCAAGGCTAATTATTAGCAGGTGTTTAATAATTTATTTATTTCTAATCTTATAAGGGTGAAGAGTTACTAAATATGTTTATATATGTGATCAAGGTTAGAAGTCATTCCTTTTATGTATTTATTTTCTTTTTCTTTATTATATTTCTTGTTTTCTTTCTCTTTTTACTGCAGCTTTTATTCTTTTCTATATTTTTTATTTATTTATTATGCCATTTGAATTTAGTTATTCATTTTTTACTGTTGTAATAAAAATTCTTATTAAAAATTGCATTAAAAAAAAAAGACTTTCTCTTTTCTGCATGTTTTCCAGAACACTTTTCCAGAGAAATTTTAAAGCTTTGATTTTGTTTTCTTTGCTTAAAGGTTCTGCTTGAGCCAGGAGTGATTCAGGATGTGCTTGCTGCAGGTAGCCATCTCCAGCTGCTGGAAATGCTGAGTTTATGTTCACACTATCTTATCCAGGTAAGGATAATGAAATGAATATTTTTCTTTGCTTTCCTGAGCTCAATTCAAATGTTATATAGGGATGATTTTCAAAGTACTTATAGCTCAACATGGTAATTACCAGGAATTAACATGGATTTGTCAAAAAGAAGCCTTGCCAGACAAAGATTCAATCGATAATAGCAATAGCACTTAGACTTATATACTGCTTCACAGTGCTTTTACAGCCCTCTCTAAGCGGTTTACAGAGTCAGCCTATAGCCCCCAACAATCTGGGTCCTCATTTTACCCACCTCGGAAGGATGGAAGGCTGAGTCAACCTTGAGCCTGGTAAGATTTGAACTGCCAAATTGCAGTCAGGTGGCAGTCAGCAGAAGTAGCCTGCAGTACTGCATTCTAACCGCTTCGGCTCTTACTAATGAGTAAGGTATATCTTTAATAATAGATTTAATAGATTATGAGTAATATATATCTTTACCTCAGTAAGCCGTTTGTGTTCTGCCCCAGCTCCGGATTGCCGAGGATATTGACACAAACCAACGGTCCTTATCAAATTTATTAAGTAGCAAGAATAAACCAAAGTCCGGCAAACATTGGCAACCAGCCCAGAAAAACAAGATACAATAAGACTGTTCCAAAAATGCTCTGATGATAATTACAAGTTGTTTCTAGCAAGAAACTTACTAACGGCGTGTGACTTAAATAGGCTAAGGGAGTGGCCAATTATCCTCAAGCCTTACTCTTGAAGAGACCTCCTCCTCCTGAGTAGCCACTCCTGCCTTTTGGCAGCCCTGCGTGCTCGAGCATTGAGGAGAGGCTCCTCCATTTCGCTATCTCCACTTGAAGGAGCCTCTGGAGGTTCTGAAGGCCCTGGCTGGGTCTCTGCCTCTGGCACCACATCCTCTTCAGCCTCCTCGCTTTCTGACGCGAGCACCGGCTGCGCAGGCTGCTGGCGCGACACCACACCAGGCTCCTTGTCGTTGGGATCAGCCACGATCCGCACAGGCCGCTGGTGGGCCACAACAATTAGACAAAGTTATGATTGGCAACAATTAAGTACGGACTTGGTGGTATCACAATGAAGATACACTGCCTTGAAAATAGTGCTCAAAAACTGCTCATTCAAACATCAGACAAGTTCCACAAGATTTAGTCCTTTGCTTGTATTATTTAGTATTTTTTTAAAAAAAATATGTACATAAGTGGTTGGAACTAATACAGGGGTGGGCTGCTGAGGGTTCTCAGGGGTTTGGGAGAACCTTTAGCTAAGATTCTGTGCAGTTTGGAGAACCCCCAAATCCCACTCCTGCCCACCCTGCCCTGCCCCTCCCAGGAGTCCCCACGCGGCCTGTTTTGGATGCAAGTAAGCGCAGGGTGTGCACAGAGGCTCAGGGAGGGCAAAAAACGGGCCTACTGGAAGTTTGGGAAGGCCGGAAATGAGGCTGTTTCCTGCCTCCAGAGGGCCTCTGGAGCTTGGGGAGGCAGTTTTCGCCCTCCTAGAGGCTCGAGGAAAGCCTCCAGAGCCCAGGAAGGGCAAAAATGCCTCCCCTCTGCCGTGGTGCAGGAGGCCGACTAGGCCACACCCACCCGGCAACCGGGCACAGAACCCTTTGCTAAAATTTTTGAAGCCCACCCCTAGCGAAATAGTGTATTAACTAGAAGGCAGAGTTAAATTCAAATACCCTAGAAGACTGCAATAAAATTCAAATCAGTCTTGATAGTTTAAAGAAAGAGGCTGAAGAACAACATGCAATTTAATTATTTATTTATTCTTAATTAAAGGTATTTCTTTCATTAGCCCTACAACTTGAAATGAAAAATATTCACAATTAAAATTTTTTTGTTAAGTTACAGTGGTGGTGATTCAGCCTTACCTAATTCATTTTTTAAGAATTTCATTATTAGCATTTTGGTACAATTTCCTGCTCCATACAGAGATCCAAATTAAATGATTCACAATAAGCTGAAAAAATAGCCTCTTTGGGAATTTTTTCAACTATTGAACTGCTCGTAATGTTTTGATTTTTTGCCTTAATATTAAACTAAAATAGGTTTCATAAAACTTAAATAAATTGTTCCATGCCTTGACATAATTGATATAGGACATATTTCTTCGTATTGACATCTTTTTAAGCACTTATCATAATTCATCCATCATGACTATTAATTCTATTTGTTAAATATATAAATAGAATGGTAGGTTTCCCTTCAGTCCGAACTGAGAGAGAAATTAGCATACCCGCTGCTCACTGGTCCATGCGAGTGGCAAGAAAAATAAAGTGATGCCTTAAAGGATCCCTTAAAAGAGGGCACTGTCAGCAGCCAAGTAGTATTTTGTTCCTATAGAATTAAAGAGCTGAAGTCACTTATTGGAGTCTTGCCTCTTCCTTTCAACCCCAACTTAACACTATTTGCAAGACTAAACATTCCGAGAACTTCTAATTTCTTTTATAGGATTTATTTTCAAGTCTTCTAATTGTACACATTGTTCCACCTGGACTAAATCCTCTTTAAAGAGTGGTGGTGTCTGGTGGACAAAATACTCAATGTGTAGTCAGACCACTGAAAAATAAAACAAGATCAATACTATTAGGAAACTATACTTTTAAAATTTGGCCTAAAATCAATTGGTGTATTTTACATCCAAAATATCTTGTTGACTTAAGGTCAGTTGATAATTACTTTTCTAAGATCTTTTTCACAAGCATAATTGCCTAGTTGAGTATCTTCTATAGTGTATCTGCCCATTTAAATTCTGTTTCCTAAATGAAGTTCTTTGCATTTCTTTGTGTTCAATATAATTTTGTTTTTCAGTAAATATATTTTCAATATATATTTCAATATATAACAGCTTTTAAGCCCATATTGGTAGGGAATTAATATCACTTTCACTCCATTATATAACTAAGGTTAACAAATATGCCCAGTGATATTCTTAAAATGAGGAAAATAAAAATCATCATCAAAATATCAAAGTTATAACTGATATATAATCCAGGGAAAACCTGGATATTTGTTTTGTCCTTCAAATTTAATTTGTTAATCTGTTTAAAATATTTAACTGGAACCACCTAAGTATTTAATCTGTTTAAAATATTTAACTGGAACCACTTAAAAAAGCATATAAAACTTGATGAAAAAGTAATTTTTATGACATCATTACTTTTCATAGTGGTCTTAATATCTTATTTCCTCTGGATCATACATAAATATTTTTGTCCACGAAATATTTTCCATTGATTTTCTTAGAGATAATAATCTCCAGGTATTTAATTAATTCTGGATGATGGACAGAGTTTATGTTTTTATCTACATCCATTAGGACCTTCTTTACAATTAGTATAATACAGTATTTGATTTATTTCTATTGATTATATAGACAGAATATTTACCCTATATCTATGGAGTCCTTGGTGCTCTGCGAGGTTGTTTGTTTGCTTGCAGATCTTTCCTTATCAGACTAGATAACATCTTCAACATTGAAATGTTTATGTAGTTTGATAAGGAAAGATCTGCAAGCAAACAGCCAAACTTGGAGAACATCAGGAACTTCACTGTTCAACCCTGAGCTGCAACATTTTCTATTGCTACCCAAATAACTGTTTAATTTCTGCAAATTTACAGAAAGAATGTGAATACTCATTTAAAAAAAAAAACCCATAATATTATCTATATGTAACAGCAACTTACATTCAAATTTGGTAATGAATTACTTGAATTTCCCCAGTTTGTCTTATTAAGCATAGTGAGGTTTTAATATGAAATTAAGGGAGATAAAAGAATCCTTGATACGTGCCACTTTGCAATTTAAGTACCAGTGAGATAATCCCATTAGTAATTACTTGAGCAGAGGGATTAGAATAATAAGCTGTTATCTATGAAATAATTTCTGTAGGAAATCTAAACTTCTACATTTCTTGAACTAAAACATAATTTGCAGGACTGTATATTGAAAGCCTTTTCTTTTTCTGCATCCAACAAAGCTAAAAACGGTGATAGATGTTTACTAACTAACAAAGCTAGTATGTAAACTATAAGTTTAATTTTATCTGGGTCATGATGTATTTATAGAATCAGATTACGTAAAATTGTTTATTGTAAGTAAATAAACTTCTCTAATCTTCTTGCAATGCATCTGTTAAAAATTTAGCAATAGCACTTAATAGAGATACCAACCGTAATCTGCAGTGGATCAGGTCCTTATCAGCTTTCAAACTTTCAGTTATATAAGCTTCATAATAAGAAAATGACACTGCCTCCTTTCTCACCCCCAATAAAATATTTAATATATTTTCAAAAGTAGAGATTCATTTTTTATCCCATTCTCTATCTGGCCCAGGGGCCTTTCTGGATGCTGTTATATCAATAATCTCATAGATTTTTCTGTAGTGTTGTAGACGCAACTAAACTCTCTTAAACTAAGATTTCTGAATGACTTATTGCATTTTTTAAAAAATTGCTTGTTGCCCATAACTCTATTAGGGTGGCACAGTGGCTCAATGGTTAAGATGCTGAGCTTGTTGGCTGGAAAGCTGGCAGCCCAGGTTAAAGACCTGAATGCCGCATGATGGGGTGAGCTCCAATATTGGCCCCAGTTCCTGCCAAACTAGCAGTTCGAAAGGATGCAAATGCGAGTAGATAAATAGGTACCACTTCACTGGGAAGGTAACAGCGCTCCGTGACATCATGACTGCGAAAATGTATTTGGATAATAATGGCTCAATGGCCTTGAAACGGAGATGAGCACTGTCCCGTATAGTCGGCAACGACTAGTGGAGTAAAATCTGCAGGGACTCCTTTTTTATAACTCTCATTTGTTGAATATAAAACCTAAAATTTGAAAATGAATTTCATTATAATTTCTATGAATTAGCCAATTGAATCCCTTTAATAGACATTATGTTACTTTTCTTCAGATGTTTTAGGTGAAAACCCAATAACTCCCTGTTCCAATATGTTTGTTTCATTGGTTTTATTCCATATTCCATTTCCAACGCATATAATTGATCTGGCTGTAA